CTTAACACAACCGTCCAGAAAATACAAATCAAACTATAATGAAACATCACTTTTCACCCATTAGGATGGCGGTTATCAAAAAAGGAAAGCAGTAAGTGTTGACAAGGATATGATAAAATCAAAACTCTTACATAATGCTGGTGGAAAAAAACAAAATGGTGCAGTCACTGTGGAGAACAGTTTGGTGATTCTGCAAAAAGCAGAGCACAGAACTATCACAGACAACCAATTCTACTCCTGGGCACCAAGGGAATTCAAAAAATTCGTGAGATTAACATACATGACAACACTACCTAGAAGTCAATCCAGATATAGAAGCATTTAAAGTAAAACAAAGCTACAAGACTGAAAATAGAGAACCAGAAATAATCAATTTACAATGAAGTCAACTACAAAGCAAAAAGAGACAAGAGGGTAGATACAGAACTTCCAAATGGCAAGGAAATCAAGTAAATTTCGAGGTAAAACAGACTGTTTTAAACAGGGGGAAGAATTAATAAATTACAGGGTAACTTCAAAGAAAATGAATACACCTTCACATCAAAATTTTTTTAAAAAGAGGAAAATCAGAGATATAGTAAACATGAACACAACAGAAATGAAAATGAAAAGAAAACTCAAACAAAACGAACTATATGGAACAAAGAAATCAGCAGCACCTCTAATTACACTGAATGTAATTGGATTAAATGCACCAGTCAAGAGACAGAAAGAGCAGAATGAAAAAAACAGAATCTTCCAATATGCTGTCTATAAGAGACACATCAAAGAGACGGAAACAGCCTAAGTGCCCATCAGCATAATGGAATACTACACAATGCTGAAAAATAACAATAAATCCGCAAACCACCTCACAACATGGATGAATGTGGAAGACATTATGCTGAGTGAAATTAGTCGATCACTAAAGGACAAAACCTTTCATGAGACCAATGTTGTAAAAAGAGTTTTTAAAAAAGGTTTTCTTGCTGAGGACTCTGGACTCATGGAAAGAGAGGGACTGGGTGCTGGTGGCCAGGAGGCAGGCTTGTAAAATGTGCCCTTTAGTTGTTTAAATTATTATATATTCCCGAGTATTTCTGTGTACATGTCCCTTCCCCTCCAAAAAACAAACCAAAACAGAGAATGGAAGATACTGTTGAATGATGATGCACGGAGGAGACTGTAATCATTGCAATGAAACAACAGTGTAAAGCCGATGTTCTTCCATATAAACCATCACTCAGTTCACAATAAAAACATAATAATAACAACAAAAAAAGGTCTTCTTGAAATAATCTATGATGGCTACAGGGGGAGGAAAAATTATTCACAGGCTAGAGGGTAGACATGTTGACATGGGTAACAGGGCACGCAGTATACAAAAAAAGGGAGGTTAGGAGAAGAAAGATGAAGGTAACGAGAGACAGAATGAGGAGTGCAACAGTCAAAGTCAATAGAGGTAAATACTGCAACTGTTGGTACATGGAGAGTATTGTAATCATTGTAATGAAGCAAAATATATGATTTGTTGAATGTAAAACTGATGATGTGCTCTGTAAACCTTCACTCAATTCACAACAAATTTTTTTTTAATGTTGAAATATGCTTTGTTATATATATATAAAACACATATGTATATTACATGTAAGTAAGTAAAAAGTATTGCTATAAAATCATAGAAACCTTAGCAAAAGAAAAAATCAAAACTTGAAGCCATTATTTCTTGATACATCCCCAATCAAGTGATGTCTTCCTTTCCATCTTTCCATCCCTTCCCCAAAGAATTCTGCGCTTTTCTATTTACACTATGCTAAAGTGGCAGTTTTAAGGAGCTCTGGTAAAGTAGGGCTGCTAACCGCAAGGTCAGCAGTTTGAAACTACCAGCTGCTCCGCATAAGAAAAACAAGGCTTTCTGCTCCCATAAAGATTTACAGCCTTGAAAACTTATGCAGGGTCGCAAGTCAGAACTGACTCCTCGGCGTATCACCACCAACAACAACTTGGCAGTTTTGGCGTCCTTGAAAGATTCAAAGCATGTTCCTTTTCTTTAAATTTTGGGAACAAAAAGAAATCTGAAAGGGTAACATCAGGGTGCAAGGGTGAATGGGGTATGAAATTCTCATACGACAGCCACTGCTATCCTTAAAGAATGAACAGGTACGTTGTCATGATGAGAAAAAAAAAACTCCTTGACACAATTTCCCTGGTCTTTTTCTCATCAATGGAGCTTTCAATTTTCTGAAACCTTTTTCATGACTGTCTTGTGACCTTCGAGAAAATCTATCAAGATTACCCTTTTGGAATCCCAAAACAACTGCCATAACCTTCTAGGCTGACCTCTCTGCCTTAAATTGAACTGAACTAGCAGAACCCCTTGAAAGCCATTGTTTTAACTGGACCTTTTTTCAAAGGAACCCTAATAAGACTAAGAAAGTGTATTGCTGAGGAAACTTGTCTACAGCTATCTAATGATTACAGAGACATGTTTAAATAAGTTATGTTTGGAATAAACCATGCATGTGTAATTGAAACCCTAGTAGCAAGAGTTTGACTTACCCCCGTGTGTGTGTATGTGTTCTGCTAGCTATATAAATAACATATTATATATTACATAGTAGGATCAGCACTGAACTGCTAACTGCAAGGTGGGGCGGTTCAAACCCACCAGCTGCTCCTTGGAAACCCTATACAGGGTCACTATGATTTAGAACCAACTTGACAGCACTCAACAACAAGTGTGTTATATAGCATATACCCATTTATAGAACTGTATTCTACAGTGGCTGCACCAGTTCACATTTCTACCAGCAATGGATGAGGATTTTGAGTTCGTCACACCCTCACCGACCCTCATTTTCCATATATCTAAATACATATATATGAGGTGGCTTCAAAACCCCTCATATACATATGTGTGTATATCATGAAAAACATGCTATTTCATCATACACACACATATGCCATGCATACATACACACAAAGCTCCATTTATAGGAAGAATCAAGGGCATATAAATCTATAGAAAGAAAGCAGATTCGTGGTTGTCAGGGCTAGACAGAAGGGGAAATGGGTGGTGTTTAATGACTGGGGTTTCCTTTTGGAGTGATGAACAGGCTCTGGAAATAGGTAGTGGTGATAGTTGTACAACCCTGTGAATGTACTAGGAACCACTGAATTGTACACTGTAACAAAGCTAAACTGGTGACTTCTATGCCGTGTCACTTACTTTGGACATGTTCTCAGGAGGAACTAGTCCCCAGACAAGAATAGCATGCTTAGTAGAGAGTGAAAAGGAGGGAGACCCTCAATGAGATGGACTGACATAATGGCTGCATTAGGCTCAAACAGAACAGCAACTGTGCACCTGGGCAGCACTGCTCATAAGGTCACTATGAATCGGCGTTAATTAGATAGCACATAACAACATGTTATGCAAGTTTCACCTCAATTAAAAAAAAAGAAGAAACTATACCTCCCCCACAAAGCTGTATGCTGCTTTTATACTTTACGAGAGCTAAGTTCTAAAAGTTTGACACCCAGAATTTGGGACATACCACAATCCCATTCTAACCCTTCCCTTCCCACCTAAAAAACTAACCTGCTTTCATTCAAGTCAGTGAAAACTATTCTCAGCTTGAGAATACCTGCATTTGACTTGCATAAGCAAGAATCCTCAAACTCTTATTTTCAGTTTTAGAGGAAGTCCTTGGAATTCTAAATGGTTCCTCCCAGTCAGAAGCCTGCCGTGACATTTACATGTTGTAAAGACACCTGGCAACAGACTGAGCAGCTTCCCAGTGACTACCTGCAATAACCACCTGCCTCCACTGAGCCTGACAACCATCTGGCAGTGCTGATAACTGCCTTCTGGCGGTTGCTGCAGGACTGCTGCTGGGCATTGCACAGGGGCAGGCCGCTGTGGCCTCCACCCATCCTTCTTCCTCATAGGGATGAATGGAGAAATGTCTTCCCGACAGGGAGGTTGATGACAGACCCCAGTGCCTCTGACCTGGGAACCGTAATATGCAGAGAAAAACTGCATATCTCTCAACTCCCACATGGTGCTCTGGCTTCAAAGCCAAGTATCACGTGAGGCACCCGGGCCAGCCTCATCAAGCCCAGGGTATCTTCCATCTACACACCAGACTGGTAATCTGAATGCTTGAGAATTACTGTTTTGTGATTACTTCTGGGCAGGATAGAAAATACAGTGATCTCATTGAGAAGTAACTTTGAATAACCAAAAAGTCCAGGATCCACAAGAGAAAAGAATCTAAGATCAAACCAACATTTGGCTAGAGTTTTGGTCTTCCTAGATCTGATCTTTTTATCCTTGCCCACACACTCATACTGTTTTGGTAATTTCAATATTTACCTCATCCTTTATGCTTCTAGAAGATGATAATCAATGGCAAAATGGTCAGAAAGTAGACCAAAGGAGAAAAGGCACTCAAAATCCTAGGCAGTACATTAAATAAGCAAACAAAAAAGCCCCTGGGTGGTGTAAAGGGTTAATACACTCATCTGCCAAGTGAAATGTTGGAGGTTCAAGTCCACTCAGAGGCTCCTCAGAAGAAAGGTCTGGTGATCTACTTCCAAAAAACCAGTCATTAAAAACCCCATGGAGCACAGTTCTACCCTGACACACGCAGGGTCACAATGAGTTGAATCAACTCCCTAGCAACTGCTTACTTTACATAAAAAACAGTTTAATCTATAGCTAACAGATTCAATTGTTTAAAGGGTTATATGCTTAGCCATAAATATTGAGGGGGGAAATTTCAGTTATCCTACTAACCCCATTATAATTTTAGACTCAGAGGTTGAAAAAAAAAGAAAGCTGGAAGGATGTATGTACATGGATAAATTAAGGGGATGACTATGGGTGACAGAATTATGGATAACTTTTTCTTATCTGTGTTTTATAATTGCTAGAATCAGCACGAGGTCCTTGCGACAACAAAAAGACAACTGTGCCCCTACCTTTGTGCCATCCAGATAACATACACCCCGCATACCTTATTGAGCTTGCCAAGGGAAGAGATGAGATCCGCCCACTCACTTGAAGACTCGAAATTTCTTAAAGCCTTCTCAATCACGGAGGAGTAATTCCTGTATCTGTAGTCATTGAATAGTTCTTGCTCTTCTGGATCCATCTTACATTCTTGCTGCAGAGGAAAGATCTAAAAGCTAACCAGAAAATAAACAGATGAGTAAACCATTCAAGGAGATAAAGTGTTCCCAACCCAGAGCCATACAAGTCAAGTTTCCACAAACACTCCTGTCCACAACCTCATTAGACAATCCAGTTCAAATATTTAGCGAGACTTCTGGGCTAGGCATAGTGGCAGATAAAAGGATAAACATTTCTTGCTCTCAAGGGATCTGAGAGAGATACCACAACAGAGAAGAGGGAAGCAACAAAGCTGGGATTCCATTGGATTGACAAGATTAATCACAAGCGTGAAACTCCAAAACTGCTAGCTACTTAGCAATTCTGAATGTGAATGGTTCCTCCCATCTTTCCACATTATAAAACCCAAGAAAAGCAGGCCTCTAGGTCTTTATGCTCTGAACAAGAAGTGTGGGTGGTGTACAGCTTAAGCACTTGGCTGCTGATTGGAAGATCTGGTGATCTGCTCCAGTAAACATTACAGGCTGGAAAGCCCTAGGGGGCAGTTCTACTCTGCCCTACAGGGTTGATATGAGTGAGAATCAATTTGATGACACACAACAGTCTACTGTAGTTAAGTGCCATCAAGTTGGTTCTGACCCATAACGACCCTGTATAGGGTTCCCAAGGAGCAGCTGGCGAGTTTGAACCACCAACCTTGCAGTTCAAACCAACCTTGTAGTCCAGTGCTTATCCTAACAGCACCACAAATGCCTACTTATAATGCTTTTTTGAGCTTATTCCTTCATGAAAAAACAAAACCCTGTTCTGTGCTCTTCTGGTGCAATTTCGCTAAACAAAAAAATGTGAAGGCTATTCAAAGGCATTACCGCTCTGAAAACCTTGCACAAGCTACAGAAATGTTGACTCGTCCCCTTGATGTTTCACCAAATTCCATACTTCATCAACTTCTCAAAACCAATTCTTTGACGTTTTCATTTGCGTCTCCCCTTCCTTAGTCTTCACCTAATTAAGTTCTACAGAGTGTGGCAGACACCCACTCATAATTCCTTATCCCCAATAATAATAATAACCCTAACAAGCTGCTTTTGAGTCAGTTCCGATTCGAAATGACCCGGTGTGTGTCAGAGCAGAACTGTCTCACAGCATTTTCAATGGTTGTGGTTGCTCAGAAAAAAATTCCCAGGCTTTTCTTCTGAGATTCTGCTAGGCAGATTCAAACTGTTGTCAACCTTTTGCTTAACTGTATGCACCACCTAGAAACTCCTACTGGCAATGATAATAATAACAAAATGCAGCCCAGCCCTAAGGTTGTTCACAGGATTCCTGGTGGTACTGTGGTTACACACTTGACAGCTAACGGAAAGGTTAGTGGTTCAAACCCACAAAGCCACTCTGTGGGACAAAGATATGGCATTCTGCTTTCATAAAAATTACAGCCTTTAGTCTATGAAAACAATGTTCTATATCCTACTTTGGTGAGTAGCAACTGGGGTCTTGAAAACTTGGGAGCTGTCAACTAAGATACAAGTATTGGTTACTTCCTATATGAAGCAAAGAAGAATGAAGAAAACCAAAGTCTCGAAGAAACAATTATTCCAGGGGATTAATGGACCATGCTGGAGGCCAGAAGAAGGAGACAGCATCACTACTGACCTACTCTGATCAGAACCGCAATAGAAGGTTCTGGACAGAGTGAGATACAAATGTAGAACAAAAGTCAAAATCATAAAAAAGCAGACTTACTGGTCTGATAGAGAGAGACTGGTGGAATCCCCAAGACTGTGGCCCTTAGACACCCTTCAAACCTGGAACTGGACCTGCTCCTGGAGAGCACCATACAGTCAAACAATAGACAAGACTATAAAGTGGACACCTTACATATAAATACCTGTGAAGAGCATGTTCCTCAGAACAATCAACCCTATGGGGCCATAATGGAAACATGTGCCCAAAACAGAGTTTGGATCAGGAAGGAGCAGGAAAGATGGGCAAATGTGTACCGGGGACCCCCAGAAGAAGTGGGTAGAGGGGATTGTAACTCATGTCACAAAACATTATGTGTGTAAATTGTTGAATGGGAAAGGAATTTGTTCTGTAAACTTTCATACAAACCACAAGAAAATGTCCCCCCACCCCCCCCAAAAAAAAGAGATTACAGTCTTGGAAACCCTATAGGGACAATTCTAAGCTGTCTTATAGGGTTGTTGGGAGTCAGAATGGAGGCAGCAAAAGGTTTAATGTTCAGGGCAGCCATGTGTGGAGCTCAAACTACAGTTCCTAGCCTCCCCTGTAGCTTATTTGCCAAGTGACAGTTCTGGGCAATGAGATGCCAGTAGATGGGATTCCAGAAAAGCTGAAAGAAGGCAGACGCCTCTGTAGTGGCTAGGTACCATCACATTGGTTCTGACTCACAGCAACCCTGAATACAACAGAAGCACTGTCCAGTCCAGCACCACCCTCACAATCATTGCTGTGTTGCTGCAGTCACTCTGTCAACCTATCTCTTTAAGGTTCCTCCTCTTTTTTGCCGACCTTCTTCTTTATCAAGCACAATGGCCTTCTCCGGAGACTGGTCCCTCCTGATAACATGTCCAAAGTACATGAGACAAAGTCTTGCCATCCTCACTTCTTAGAAGCATTCTGGCTGTACTGCTTCCCCTTTTTTTTCGCCTTTTACCCTTCCCCTTGTTTCTGCCTGGAACAAAGATGATGCCACATCTTGTAGTCACAAGGAAACATGCATGAAGTCAGAAGTCACTCACTAAGAATGGGAGAGTGGAAAGTGAAGCAACTGAGGATGGCATTATGCCAACTCTGGATGCTCTACTTCTGGACTGCATATATGTTCCACACATCAGGCGAATTCCTCACCATTTAATACAGTCTTCTCTTGTTCATCAACACAATCCTGACTGATACAGGAGGCTAGATGATGTATCTTACTGAAATTGCTGGAAGTCTCAAAGGAAACAGAAATACAAAGCTAAGTAATGATTGACTATGGCTGAGCATGCTGCAGTTTCCTAACTGACCATGCTGCTTGTAGTCAAACAAATAAAAGCCAACTGTGGCAGAGTGAGGGATCCTGGTGTGGTGGTGTGCGTTAATGTGCTGCACTGCAAGGTCATTTGAACTGCACCATTGGCAGTTCAGGCTCACCAGCCGCTCCTAGGTAATCCGATACAGGGTGGCTATGGGTTGGAATAGACTCAACAGCACTTAACAACAACATAGCACACTGATAGATACCCTGGTAGTGTAGTGGATTATAAGCTGGGCTGCTAACTGCAAGGTCAGCAGTTCGACTCTACCAGTCAGTCCATGGGAGAAAGATGAGGCTTTCTGCTCCTGTAAAGATTTACAGCCTCAGAAACCCTACACAGGGCTGCTGTGAGTCGAAACTAACTCAGTGGCATACAACCATCACCACGGCAGACTGAAGAGAACCCTCGTGGTGCAAAAGTTAAGTGCGTGGCTGCTAACTGAAAGGCTGGCTATGGGAACCCACCCAGTGGTTTAACAGGACTCCACTAATGAGAACAGCATTAAAATGGAATGAAATACTGATACATGCCATCACATGAAGAGCCCTTTAAACTATTATGCTTAAGCTAAGGACTCTAGATTCACAGAAAGAGAAAGACTGAGTGCTGGCGGCCAGGAGGCAGGCTTGCAGAATGTGCCCTTTGGTTGTTTAAATGATTATATATTCCTGGGTGTTTTTGTTTACATCTTCATATAATCCAGCTTCTCAGATTATTTGCTCATCATACAGAATGAATAAGTATGGTGAAAGAATACAATCCTGGTGCACACCTTTCCTAATTTTAAACCATTCTGTGTTCCCTTGTTCTGCTGGAACAACTGCCTCTTGGTCTGCGTACAGATCCCTCATGAGCACAATGAAGTGTTCCTGAATATTCATTCTCCGCAGTGTTGTTTGTCCACAGCTTGTCATGATTCACACAATCGAAAGCCTGTGCATAGTTCAATAAAGCACAAGTAAACATCTTTCTGGTATTTTCTGCTTTCAGCCATCTGACATCAGCCAAGATTCATCTGACATCAACAATTATATCCCTGTTCCACGTCTTCTGAATCCGGCTTGAACCTCTGGAAGTTCTCTGTCAATGTACCTTTGCAGCCATTTTTTGGATTATCTCTAGCAAAATTTTACTTGTAAGCATTAATATTTTTCCAAGACTTCAGCATTCCATTAGGTCACCTCTCTTTGGAATGGGCACAAATATGACCTCTTCCAGTCAGGTACCCAGTTGTTGTCTTCCATTTTTGTTGGCACAGATGAATGAGTGTCTCCAGTGCTTCATCAATGTGTTGAAAGATTTCAATTTGTATTCCATCAATTCCCAGAGCCTTGTGCTTTGCCAATGCCTTCAATGTACCTTGGACATCTTTTTTCAGGATCATTGGCTCTTGATCATATGCTACATCTTCAAACATTTGAACATCGACCATTTCTTTTTGGTACAGTACGTCTGCACATTCCTTCCATCTTTTGATGCTTTCTGCATCATTCAACATTGTGCCCAGAGAATCCTTCAATTCCGCAAGTTGAGGCTTGAATTTTTTCTTTAGTTCCCTCAGCTTGAGAAATGCTGAGTGTGGTCTTCGTGCCTCTTCTGACATCCATTTTAGTCGTCTTTTCATTCTTTGTCTTCTTAATGACCTTTTGCTTTCTTTATGTATGATGTTCTTGCTGTCAACCACAACACTTTTGGTCTTCAGTCTTTAGTGTTTAATGTATCAAATCTGTTCTTCAGATGAGGATGGATATGAGGTTGAACTGACTTGATGGCACTTAACAACAACAAAGCTGGTTCTTGTTTTTTTTTTAATGCCTAAACACTCAAGTCTATCTACTCAATGTGCTCCTCCTCTTCTGAAAATGGTTCCAGCACGCATGAGACTTCTGATGTCATGCTGTATTTTTTCTTCTCATCATCTACCATACTCAATCCAAGTCCAAAATATCTGTCTTTCTGACTGCTCTCCATCTCT